AACATAAAAAGGAAAAAAAAACATCGCCTCTCTCTTTGTAACCCTCCTTAGCTTATTTTGTTTTTCCAAAAGGTAATTTCTAAAGTTTTATTTAGTCTGCATTAATATCTAAACAAGTATTTCAAGACCTCTGTGCTGTCCCTTTCCTCAGCAGGAAGCTGTAACTGTTCTAATCCTTCAAAACTCACCTCCTGCCACTGAGTGTCTGCCATTAGGCTATTATTCAGCAAAGGGCAGTTTATTTTTTAAAGGATATTCATAAGCTGGAATATATTCAGCAAAGCACATCCAGATGATATGAGGAGTGTGTGAAGAACCTGAGATGTATCATTTGGAAAAGAGAGGAACTGTCACGCGGGGTGGTGGGTTTGTGTGTGTGCAGTGGCAGGGAACAGGAACAGACCCATTCCGTGTGGCTAGAGCACAGAACTAGAAACGACGGAAAGCATGACAGGCAAACATTTCCACTTAGCAGGAGGAAGACCTTCCTCACAGCTATGACAGTCCAACAATGTTCTAAGCTGCCTCAAAAAGCAGTGAGCTCCTCATCACTGGACAAAGCCTGGAAAACCATCCAGTATGGATGCTTTTAAGGGAACAGGCAAGGACCAGCTGGACAGTCCACCTCTGAAGTCGCTGAGGTTCCATGAGGCTATACCAAATCACACCCAAGTCCAGCCTGTGTGCTCCAATCTTCTTTAGTATGTCTATGTCATTTTATATAACTATCATAGTCTCACATGTTTACGTTTTCTCTAAGCTTTTTCCCCCCTTGCTTTGATTTTAAGTTTGAGGGTTAAAATGAAAGCTTTGGTATCTCCTTTACCAGACCCACACACACACACACACACACACACACACACACACACACACCACAAATCAGGCTATCTATCTTTACTTACTATTTTCTGTGTTTTTTCTCTTCTATTCCTAAAATCATTTTGCTGGTCCTTCATTTTAATTATGTGATTATTCTTTTCTTTCAACTTACATTTCTTTCTTGTGGCCCAATGCTCTCTAAAGTATAATTACTCTTCCTACCAAAACAGAGTAGAACTATTGCATAATTACCTTAATTTCACCTATTTTCCACAAGAGCCCAGTTGGACAACCAATACTTACCATCAAACTGATAGTGCATGGTTTGATGGATGCGTTCTGTGACGCTGGCCAGCCAGTCTTGGAAGGATAAGGTCACTTGTGCCTCATCTAATAGCTGACCACAGGCTAGGAAAAGAAAAAAAAAAAAGCCTCTTCAGTTAACTTTTCTTTTCTTGCAGAATAAACAGTTAATTGAAGTTAAAGAGTTTATACAGAAAAAAAAGAACATGAAGCTGAAATTCAAAGAAGGTAGATAAAATAAGTGAAATAGAATATTCTGGGACTTTTTTAAAAAAGAATCTACTTAGAAAATGAGAAATGAGAAGTTCTTAGAGACTAATAAGTTTAAGATTATTAACTATAGAAAATTAGCAGCCGTTTAACACTAAACTGCACATTAAAGAATGATCCTATATCATAGGTGTTTTAAAGACCTATAAATTAGTTCTATTCATGATGAATATGTATCCATATGCCCCAAATCCTCTCAATAATGAAGGTATTTGTTTCATATCAAGGTTGAGCACAAACAGATAAGACTGAGTGATGCATTCATGGTGGGTTGCTACGATACCTTTTCACTTAAAATCCAAAACCTTATATTCAGAAATGCAAACTCAACGAAAATTCACTTTTAAATAAAAAATGAAAGAATGAAATCTTGCAGCCCTGGAGTAAATAACTGGGAAATACAGTAATAGTGGTGAAATTTAATGGGGCCAGAGTTTAGAGTTGGGAGTCAAGAGGTTATAGGACATAGGACTCCCATCCTCACTAAGTGACCAGGGTCCATGGCTCAACTTCCTCTTCCCTAAAATGAGGGTATAAATCTCTGGATGATCTTCAGATTCAAAACCTTTCCACAGATGTACCATTCTATTTCTTTTTTTTTAAATACTATTTAACCTGTTTCACATCTGT